GGGGTTAAAGTCTGGGGTTACCGCACATTATGTTTACCGAAGGTTCAATGAATAAAGCAGGGATCCGATTTCTGACTATCACTGACCTATATTAGCAGGTTTCGTGACTATAAAAAATTATACTTTTGTTATGAGCAAGCAGGGTGTGGCCTGACTTAATTAAGGTACATTGTTCACCCTGCATCCTCTGACCAAGATCAGGGCGGACGAGTTTGTGTACGTGAGCTGATGATTCGTGACGTGTAGTCTCAAAGCGAAACCAGGTTAGCCTGGTAATACCAGACTCTGCTACTTCACTTTGCTTCGTAGACAGAGTCTGGAATGGCCAACGCATTCTCATCCCAAAGCGTAATATATTGACTCTTTTGCCAAAGCGTCTGTATCCAACGCATATGGCACCCTTTAGCGTCAATATAACACGCTTCGGTTTTGGGTAGGTTTAGGTTTGGGGTAGTGTTAGGGTTAGACCACTAGGAGGCGCCATATATCTGCGTCTCATATGACGCTAAAGGGTGCCATGTGCGTGGGATATAGACGCTTTGGCAAAAGAGTCAGTATATTACGCCTTGGGATGAGAACGGGCTCGAATGGCATAATAGAGAAGTGTTTTCTCTCTCTAGGGGGCGCTTGTCTGAAGTTTAAAATCATTGGTTACCCGTAAGCCAATCAGATAAGTTTATATATGACGTATGTTATGCGCCGACACAGCCGCATCGAACCACAGACATCATGCATCGAACTCAAATCTATGATCGAACTTCCACTGTAAACCTGCTGTAAACACTTGATGATGCGAGCGAAATACCGGAGTGAACATGGCTGTAAACGACTTTTGCAGATTATGCGAAGTTAATCTACGCATCCACGGTACAATCAGGGCCTCTAAACTGATATTTGACAGTAGAGAGAAACAAAAAAATATTTGCAGCCAACTATCAAAGTTAGGATTAGTTCTGTTAAGCACAGCTCTTTGTTCATCTCGAGTCTGTAAGAAATGTTACAACTTAATTGCAAGATTACAGCATGACATGGCAATATTTAAGACCTGGAAAAGAAAGGAGACACTGACCTGTCAAAAGGCTCCCCAGTTTCTCGCTGACGATCGGTAATAGTTGATAAATTAAACTTTTCCCAAAGGGAGTACGGCCACAACATCACCTCCATTCAAAATTTTTAATACACACTCTTCTTGGTCGGGCTTCAGTTTGCTAATGCTGGGAATATTCTCCACAACTGAGCGAATTGCATCCGCGTCTCCATATCCGCGGTCGTTTTTGATTTCCCTGACCGGCGCTTAGCGACTACGTCACGGCTTTCAGCCCGCCCTCTGTTCGTTGATTGGCCCGGCTGTTTTCAGGCCGGAGGAAAACGGATAGATAGGCCGCTGTCTCAGACTGAGTACAGAAGCGAAATGAAATTGAGCGGAAGTACGAAGTCTGACATAGTCAGGCTAAAACCAGGTCCCTTAACGAATGAATAATTGAAAGAATGGGATACCCAGAATAATCAAATATCTAAAGTAATCAATAACCAATGTTTATGATTAGTTTCTAATTAGAAACATGACCTAAATTTGATAATCATTTGATAATCATAATCAAAATTAGTCAGATTAATCGCGGAGCTAAAGTAAAATTTAAACTAAATTACATAAAGAACTCTGAACCAAGACACAAAAACTGACTTACAAAATTTAAATAATTTTATTTGTTTGTAAATGAGTGGTCAGAATGATTTTCACATCATTTTGTTGTAAAGATTCTAGCCGGCTATATGTATAACTCTTGTGAACAACGATTCAGTAGGCTATGTGTTTTATGGCCTGATTCCAGTGATAATTTCCAAAACTTACTAACCAAGCATAATCATTATTTTCAAAAAATTTGGCGTACATACATGGGGTGTTAGCCCTATTTTTAGCAGTGCTGAATACAGCAAAATTACTTTGGCTCTCAAGTCTCACGCATGACACGCATTTCAACCAGTTCACACACTCACACACATCCACACCTACACTTTACTCACGCTGAGAAGTAGCCTAAGGGAAAACTTGTCCCGCGCAATTAACCTGTTAAGCTTCAAGCCCACTATTGAAAAATCCCCAGAAATGACATACCCAAACTAAAACAGATACAGTTCATGAAGCCTTTGCACTAAAAGCACAAGTATGATCTCATTTGAAAGCTGACACTTGGTTGTTTATTGTAAATGTAGAATTAATTATTGTCATAATGAAAAAAACAATTTTAAATAGCTTCAAAGTTTTGTAAAGTTATTAGAAATTTATTTTTATGAAACATCTTCATGAAAATAAAATTGAAGTTGGCCCTGGAGCAATCTAGAAATGCACTGCAGCTAAAGCCACATGTCTGACCATTTTATATTTAAAATCTGAAAATGATAAGTATAAAGCTCTGTATTTAGTTAAATGTTTTTCAAGATCATGTCAAATTACTTTATTTTGATTAGACTCTATTAGCAAACTGATGTTTAGTCATCTTCTGAGTCATCTATTCAGTCTATTGTCTCTATTGTTTTGTGGTGCCCCATTCAGTCTCAGTCTCCCCTGCACACATTTACACCTCTCCAGACTGGTTATTATGGCTCTAAATATGCATTTCTTTTGTCTGCATTATAGCTACTAACGACTGGCTATTCACAAGCTATTCATAGGGTTTCAAACCCTAATTTCTTTTATCAAAGTTCTCACTAAATATTTGAAACTGGTATCAAATGCACTGAAACATTTCAGTAAGAATTCCTATTTAGAAAAAAATCATAAAACAATAACTGCTCGTGGCAGGTGCGCCTGGGCTCGCTAGCATGTTAGCTTAGCACACCATCAATACACGACCATTTATGAGATTAAAACTATGTTTGCGCTCCAAACTCACTATATAACGCAAGTCTAGTGTTTTAAATAATCTTCTGTGATCTAACTTGGCTTCAGATAAAAAAAAAATCAGACAGAAAATGTGTTCTGAACGATGATGAAATCTATATCGATTAGCATTACATTATAAATATAATCTATTATTATGAAATACCTGGCATGGCTTGAAGAACACAGGTAACTCAAATATCATTGCAATCATGTTTATTGTCTTCAAAACATCTTTATCTGCATGTTACAGCGATCTCTGTACTTTCTGTATCACTCAGTGACGTCCTGGAATGTCACATGACTATGGGTCTTCTTCCCCAGATAGCAATGAGTCGGCGGACCACCGTCGGTTCTCCGGCGGCAGTAGAAGCGTCAGAATGGCGACATCGCAAACACGTTGGACGGCGCACCGCCGGCGGCAGCCGCTTTTTAAAAGCGGCAGCCGCCTTCCTACCGCCTTCGTTAAGCGGCCGGCCCGCGGGCCAACCGCCGTTCCGCCGCGCTTTATATTGAAGGCCGTCCTTCCGCGGCCCGCCGGAGGCAAACGCTATTTTCGAGCGCTCTGCCGCCGCTTATTCTGGCTAGATATATATATATTTTATTTATAGCATGTAGTTTATCAAGAATAATGATTGCTCAAACCAGACAAATTTACAATTGGCATTTTTATTCCACGTTTCAAAGTACAGTAACTGTCATTTAAACAAGATGTTTCAGATCACTGAAACATAACAGAAAAATAAATAAATCAATATACTAACATGCAGGTTTCCAATTCAATTTTGGATTCAAAAGGCTGCAATTACAACACTTACAATAAGTTTTCATATAAAAAGGACAGCTCTAGGGTAACAAATTACCAGTAAACATTATGACAAGTAAAGAGGATATTTGATACCAAATAATGTGCAAGATACCAAATAAATAAAAGTATAACTACATTTACAAGCCATTTCTAACAATATGATAAGTGGTAGTAATTTATAGTAAAGCTCTGGAGTAGAATAGGCCATTATAACGGCAATGCTGACCTGTGGCACAAGGATTTACAAGCTTTATTTGAAAAAGAAAAAAAGAAAGTAATTTCCACAGTGAGTGAGTGTCTGACACTTCTGACTTCTTTAGGGGTCTTGATTCTACTGACTGCAAGATAAAGAAAGGATTCCAGTTGTCAGTGATTCTGGGGTGTCAGTAGTCAGTCTAGTTTTAAGTGGTCGGCTGTGGGTCCCTCTCAGCTGTGCGGCGCCTTTTTCTGCCTTCACGGTCAGATGCTCCTTTCAGGTAACGTGTAACGTTAACCTGGACCGCCTCATCAGTGCATCCTGGGTTGCCGGGTCCTTCCGGATGGCTAATATAGAAAATACAGATCTGTCATTTAATTTGAACTGCATGAGGACAATAGGACATACACATCTACTTAAATAAAAAAAAAATATCCAACTTACTTTGAACAATGGTCTTCAGGAACATGTCTCTAAAACATGCTTTATCCCCTACCAAGCTGAAAATCCAAAAAAGTGTTACAAATTACATTTCTCTGAAGCTTCTCATAAATAAATAAAAATGTGAAAGGCTAAGGATTCAGACTGTAATATATGCAGTATACAATCTTAAATTTTACTTTATATCTAGGTCTACTAGATGTACAGGTAGCCCCAGTGGGAATTAAACCGACAGCCACAGGTGCTGTTTGCAAGTTGTACCTAATTGCTCAGTGCAAGCAAACGTCTTCAACATTGTTTGTTGAACTTGCTTCACCTGCTCTTGAAATAAGATTTTACAATTCGTATTTTTATATGTAATATTGTAGTGTTTATTATAAATGATTTATCTGTGCACTTCATTATTCTTTTAAAATTCATGTAGCCTTATAATCTTTAATCAAATACGTTACCCTTCCCTCCCCCTCGAAACGACTTCTCTTCTCTTCCGGTCATGTGCTATGGCGCGAGGGCGTGGCAACTCCCCTCAAACCGTGCTATGAGCAGAGATGGAGAAGAGGAGCGCTAGAGTAAAACCCTGCCCTCCGTTCAATATACCGTTTCATTTTTAAATACGTCACAACACTGGAGAAAAGTCGTTTGTAACTTCCGGTTCATGCCGACTTCAAATAGAAGCAATAGTTTCCAAGACAAAAAAACTTCACAAATAACATCACTTACTTGTACTCAAACTCTTGGCTCTGTGAAGTGGAGTCTGGATTACTGGGGAGAAACCTGGTTGCGAGAAAGAGGAAACAGAAATTTGAAAATCTAACAAATGGTATAGTTTAGTGGCAGGATCACAAATCCAGCATAACAGCAATAGATTTTACATACCAGTTCAGCATTTTCCTGGTTTTCTGGAATCGATGCATCTTTCTAGAGTTTTTTTTCTTGAGACTTCCAAGATTCTAGAGTAGGGAATAATGAATGAAAGAGTCAGTTATCCACAATAAACAGAAAATAAATTACACAGATGAAATACAGGAAAATCAAATACACAAGTCAGACCCATTTACCTGCTCCCTTCATGAACTTAAAATGATGTTTCTCCCAGGTGCTGTGTGGAGGTGTGCAGAGGATGGCTAAATTGTTGCCTTCGTCTTTTTGCTGAGGTTAAATGGTGGCCAATGGCACATGCTCTCGCTGAGCCACTCTTGCGGAACCACTGCAAATGGCAGATCCTCCTCGTTGATAAACTGAACAATGTGAACCATCTAAAATAGAAGAACATTTTGCATAAAGTATACTTTTTGATTAATTTCCAGGCAAAATCAATAACATTAAAATGCTCACCCCTTCAAAAAACGAGTCATTTTCACAAGTGGATCAACAGAAAACCATGTTCAGACAAACACAATCATATACATATACACACATATATACATATACACACATATATACATATATATATATATACACACACACACACATACATCGTTATTTTTGTAAGAAAACACCAAAAGTTAAACTTTCTAGATGTAAAGCTTTCTTTCTAGATGTAAAGCTTTGGCGATCTACTGTAGCTAGATACATTTCAACATGTCGAACATGCTTGAATTCAGTGAGTAAAAAAGGCGAAGCAGCATGTGTTAGCTAACACTGTAAATTAATCTAGACTAGCAGCATGGTTGTCGAATCAAACAAAACATCATTATGTTTAGTTAGAAAACAACACAAGTTATACTGATCAGTCTTTCTTGTTGTAAAGATTTTGCTAACCTTACCATTCCCACGTGGGCGGGAGAATTGTCCTTCAGGATTTGGTTACGTAAGTTAGTTAATTATTCGACTGACCAATACTATCTTAAACCACATACTGTAGTACTCACACTTGCATAAACATACGTAAATATAGTTAAAAGAAGAAAAGAAAAAACTAACGCCAGGAAGAAACTAAGTAACGTTAGCTATGTCAGAAACATGACGAAAACTTTGTAAACAAGGCTAACTTACTAGCTTGACTAGTAAGGCAAGAACATATTTGAAAAAGCTGAACTAAAAATGTAAAAAATGAACATAATATTGCGTTACACAAAAAGGAAAAATGTACTTACTTTAAAGATCGTAGTCAATGACTAGATAGGATATCCTCTCCAAATACTGAAATCGTGTGACGAGTGGCCACTGTTGTGTTGGTAAATCTGCTTCCGTTTTTTAGGTACTGCCCCTCTCGGCCGGTGGAGGTAGGCCTACTTCTCTGTTTGTGCTTTAATACTTTCTTAAACATTTGTACAGATTGCAAAACTCGCAATTGCAAATTAATCCCTTACCTGTAAAAGGTAAAATAAAAATAAAAAAATCGAGCTTGTAAAAAAATGAAAGACATAAACGAAATTTCCTGGGGTGACAGAGAGACTAAATATTTCTAAATATTTCACTTTATCTTTCAGGTCAAAACAGGGATTTTCATGTTTATTATAAATATTAGGCTACCATGGTTGCAAATTAATAAAAAAAATCTAAAGCATACCCAAGCTTTTGGCCAAGTTGCAGATGTCTTTCACTGTTCACTGATTTCAGGCATTGGTGAAAAGTCTAACTTCATCCATTTATTCTGCTAAATTGTTCATACCATGAATGAAATATTTATTTTAAAACCTAATCAGAATCAGAAAGATATTTATTGCCAAGTAAGTTTTACAAAAGGAATTCTTTTTGGACTATTTGTGCATCTCAATTGTGCATAAATCAAAGAAATGTAAAGAATTGTAACCTTAAGTGAATAAAATAATTCTATATATTTTACATAGGCCTATCACTGAATCGCTTCAGAGTTTCAACGTAATTTAAATGTATTTTCCTAAACCTTATCATGGAATCAGACTGAGTCAAATCTGTTATAGGCCTAAACCCTAATGACTTTGGAGCAACAACAATAACAAAATTTGATATAATTCACATAATAATTATAATCGCTTTAAATGTGAAAGTTAAAATGCTGTCAGTTCCACTCATGCCAATGACATGGCTGGTCGATTTCAATGCGGCTTGCCGCCAGCCGGCCGCGGTTCATTTAGACGGCGGCAACCGCCAGAGAGAATGAAGTCGGCGGCCCGGCGGCTGTTCGCCGGCGGCATCTCGCAAGAAATGGGAGTGACGTATTCGGCGGCAAACGTTTCATCTCCGCCAGCGGGGCGCACCTATAGCCGACAGTTTGGGGCCGGCGGCAAAAAGAAGCCGTGCCGATATTTTTTGCTATCTGGGTCATGATCCATATATGGACTTTTATTGGACATAATAGCGCCCCCATGCTATTGGTATGAATGGAAAACACAGCACATCTCAGTAAGAAGCGATCATTATGATTACATCGACGCATTTGGGTATAAATTCAATAAATATTATTCCTGTCTATAGAAATATGATGTGAATCTATGAGAATATATCAATATTTCTCCACATCTGCACATTGTTGAGCTAAAAGCCCTCAGGGACGTTGTTTTGTGAATCGCTATCATGAGGACAGCACGGAGTGTTTTTTATGAATGGACCAGCTGACGCTCATAATTCATATTAAAGGTATCGACTCGTTTTTTTCATTTCATAACTCCTTACACAAATTAAGACATAACTGTCACTATAAGTTTCTCAGAATACAATAGTGGTCAAATACTGAATCTTGAGTCTTATATCTTTTTAATGATGTATAGTTTGTCAAGGTATAACATTAAATCTGATAGTATATTTGAACTAAATAAATAAAAAAACGCTTCAGTGCGCCGACGCTCTGGAGAAGGTTAAGAGGTTAATGGATGAGGCGGAGGCATACGGAGGGAAGTTATCTGCCGAGTTCATAGCTGTCTCGAGTTATAGAGACAGACCGACAAAATCTGAAAACCTCCATTCTTCCTTCTTCCAGCTGATGCTTGACGTCTTATTGCCTTGTGTATTTGCCTATCCACTTTTGTGTCCTTAAACGCTCGTTTTGGGGGGTCGACAGCACTGTATTTATGATTAGGACTCATAATGAAGATTTACGGTCTTACTTCATCTGCAGTTATAGGCCTATATGCTTGCGTCACAGCGTCAGTTTCACTAAACGCCCCAACGCGCTCGCTCGCAAAATTCTATGATGGGATCTTAGTTATGAGGGCGCCTACTCTAGTCTTGGCATTGCTAGTGTCATGCTCTAATGTTTGAGCTATAGGAAGTATAATAATGTGTTAATTCCGTATTTTAATGTGTTTGACTATTAATTAATTTTTGCTTTAAAAGAGTCCATCCTAAAATCACTGGGTGGAATGTATGCATTAGTCAAGTAAGATGGAGTTTGTGAGATGTGCAAACTTGCAAGATTACAACAAAACAAATAGAACATTTTTATTGCACCTACAACTCAACCCCTAAAATAAACTCTAATGTCTTTTAAAACAGCTAGGAAACTGCAAGCTACAGTATAAGCAGGTTAATATTAGGCAGATTAATAGGTAGGCCTATATCAAGAAAAATGGCAAAGAGTCTAATTTACAAAGACTGCATAGAACACAATCATGCAATAACAATGGTATGTTCTTTAATAAGCATTAACCTTGTTTAATAAATGCTGTAAAATTAATTGAACCTTATTAAAGTGTTAACAACAAAGGCTGCAATATTCATTACTGACATATTAGAGAGTGATGATTTTTACAGAGATATGATTTTTGGCCACACGCTACCCCGACATTCAGTTTCTCTTCAATTAAAAATAAAACCTGAACAATATTTTTTTTTTTTTTTTTTTTTTATTTGAGCAATGGCTGAGCCTCGCCCTATCTTAATATTAAAGAACAATTAAACCAGTGCTGCAACTTTCTTCAAAGCCTTTAGAATTGCAAACAGAAACACGTTATTCTTGCTGCATTTTCATGTTTCATGATTTAAATAAACATGAATCTGATCGACTTTGTTGTTGTAGCACATCCTCTTGAGTAAAATAAGATGTAGTAGGCTATATAAATCATATAATTGATTAAGTCATTTTTTTAATTTATTGTAGACAAAAGCTACATGAGATAAGAAAACAGTAAGAACCCCAAAACTATGACATCAGTGCCACATTCATTAAAATGGCATTAGACGGCATGTAAAATGTGTACATTGGTTTGCGGTACTAAGCTAAAAGTGTGTGAGGACACTCATCAGAGGAACAAGTATCAGCATCAGAGAACCACACAGACAAGAAGCCTCAGATGCCTTCACTTGTTCTGGGACCCACTTATCTGTGAACAGGGAATATAATGCAATGCAGTGAAATGTAATGTATTCATGACAGAAATCATCATAAACCTTTATTACAAATGATTAAAATAAATAAAAAATGTTCACCTGTGTTCCCTTCAGACAACACCAGAGGACCCATGGATATGGAAGCACTGTCATGGAAGTCCAGAGACCTGCGCTCTCTCCGCTGGTGTCCAGAGCCACAGTCCTAATAGAGAAAAGAGCAAAATCCAGCTGTGTGAATCTGTTAAATATCACTGAACAAACATGAAACAAAGAGTTGCAGAAAGTCTCCAGCAGAGGGCAGAAAAAAAATATATTTTAGCAGAAAAAAAAGGCAGACTTACATACTAACACTGAAGCATTTGACAATCTAATATAGAACTTAAGTCATTTTTATATATATTTAAAGTGATACTTTACATTTATTATCAATTACTCATAAAACATTGTCATTAGGAGAGGTTTTGTAAATTCACCATTGAGCAGCGATTGCCTGACAGAAGGCAAAGGTGAACAGCGCAGTGCAGGTAAAGCCTAGTGGAGTTTGCAGTGAAGATATTCATCCCAAAAGAGAAACGGCTGGATGTCGAGACGCCGTTCTGCAGCAGATCCACTGTGTCGTCATTTGGATTGGGACACCTATAATGACAATCAACAAATCAAATTATTTTCTTTGTTTCCATTGAACAAAAATGTAATCCTGTGTTTTTGTCTTGAAATCCTGAGAGATAAAGTATCTCAGGCAATCCTAAAAAATCTTTTGCTTTACTCTGAAAGGATGAGATCCCAGCGGAGGCTGTAATCGGGATCATTCACAGGTGTAGCCCAACACGTGTCCATCACCAGGGCGAACTGGCGGCTGTCGACCCCCTCAACACGAACTTCCACATGCATCTCCTGGTCGAGCTCTGCATCCACTCTACCAGTGAAGGGCCGGGTAAACTCATCATCCTCATATGGGATCATCCGGACCCGATATCTGCCTTCACCAGCGGGAAGAGTCTTGTGCACAATACTGATGAAATAGAAATAAAAAAAAATATATATATATATATATATATATATATATATATATATATATATTAGGGGTGGAACGGTACACAGAAGTCACGGTTCGGTACAATTTCGGTACAATGGAGGGAAATGCAAAACAAAAATGCAGAAGGCATTGTATTTAAAAAAAAAGTTGTATTAATAAAGGCATAGAACCAGTTTATTTGTAGCACTGACAATAGTTTTATATAATTCGTTTATTAATTAAATTAATAAAAAGACAAAAAGACCTTGCGATATGTTTGGTAATTGTACCTGAATTTAAAATAATTTTGCTATATTTCAGATCAATATAATTGTTTTCCTTCATTTTAATTAACATTATTAATTAACAATGTAACATTATTCTCATCTGAATTATAAATAATTGATTTCTGTATAAAATAATACTACCATTAAAAACACAATCGATTTTCTTTTTTAATCAATGTAGAATGTGTAAGATTAGTGCTCCGAGGACAAGAAATGAAAACCAATGCAATATGATGAATGTCCAAAAGATGGGACCCACAGACTGTTTTGAAATGGAGTTGGATAAATATGGTTTGCTTTGTGTGTGTGTGTGTGTGTGTGTGTGTGTGTGTGTGTGTGTGTGTGATTTTGGTTGGGTGACAGTTGTAGGTGCAGTTTGACAAGTTTACAGTGTGACAAAAGCACAATGTTGTGTTTTATTGCGATTGTACACAAATATAAGTAAACACTTGGCAGGTTTAGTGATCTGAACAAAATGACGGAGTTTGTTTTTATGTTTCCACTGTTCGATCTCTCTCTCTCTCTCTCTCTCTCTCTCTCTCTCTCTCTCTCTCTCTCTCTCTCTCTCTCTCTCTCTCTCTCTCTCTTCTCTCCCATGTGGAGTGAGTGTGGAAGGAGCCGGTTGTCGGGAGTGAAAGTGTCTCTCTGGTTGAGTGAGATTTCTTTTTTTTTTTCTTTTTTTTTTTCTAGTTACAGATAATAGGTTTAGTTTAGCTTTCCCCTGACTTCGGTCAGAGAGTGGGGATCATGGGGTCGGAAACGGGGGATCTCTCACAGTTAACCATCAAACATGGTTGTAAATGCATGCCTGAGGCCGCGGTGTCAGTGGAGGATTGCCTGATAGCCGTGAGTGCGGCGATCGGTGGTGCAAATATCAAATGTGCCTCCCGTATGAATAAAGCCGTTGTGTTCTTCCTCAGTGAAAGCAAAATGGTGGACGAATTGGTTGAAACTGGTTTGGTAATAAAGGACAATTTTGTGCCTGTATTGCCTTTGTCAAGCCCGGCCAAGAAAGTTATTTTGTCAAACATACCGCCGTTTGTTAAAAACGAAAAATTAGAACAAATACTTCAGAGTTATGGTAAACTAGTCAGCAGACTCAGCACTATACTTGGATGTAAAACCCCCGAGATTAGACATGTGATGTCTTTCCGGCGTCAGGTTTTAATGATTTTAAACTCTCATAGTGATCCATTAAATCTGTCAGTGAAATTAAGCATCGATGGCAAAGATTACACTGTTTTTATTAGTTCAGAATCGATGAAATGCTTTGTTTGCAGGCAATGTCTGTAAATGATTTGAATATTGAAGGAAAACAAACGAAGCCTGATGGAATTGAGAACGATACAATTAACGTTACTGATGATTTATTAAAATCGAGTAAAGATGACTCTTTATCTCAAGAATCTGTGGATTTAATGGATGACTCTGACAACGAACATGACTATACAGAGATAATGGGAAATGACGCGGAGGATTCGGAGTTCGTCTCTGGAGTGGAGGTAAGACAAAATTTTACTCTCTTCAACAGATTAATCACCTTTTGGATACAACGAAAGGACACCGTAAACCGAAAATTGAGTTTTATTTTCCAGACGCAAAATTGTTTTTGTTGTCTGGTACCTTGGCGATGAGAAAAGCTTCCTTGGAAGAGCTTGACAAACCCAAACGGTACCGTCTTAAGAAGCTTCTTAGCAATGTTAGAAGTTCTTTGAACTTACAAGGTAAAAAATGAATATGTTTTGGTTATCTAAAAACTCTTGTCGATTAGTTGTATTGTGTGTTTTTCTCTTACTTATTTTCATGGCACCTTTGAGGATTAGTTTATTGAACGTTAATGGGTGTCGTGATGCTATGAAAAGGGCTAGTCTTTTTGATTATATAATGATGAAAAGCGCTAGTGTGGTGTTTCTGCAGGAAACGCACACAGATGAGAACAATCAGATACAGTGGCAGAGTGAATGGAAGGGTCAGGCTATTTTGAGTCATGGCTCTAGTGTCAGTGCAGGGGTGGCTATACTGCTGACACCTGAATATAAAGAGCAACCTGTTGGTGTCTTTGAACTCATTTCTGGTCGTTTACTGAGAGTTGATGTAACTGTTCAGGGTAATAATTGTTCTTTTGTCAATGTATATGCACCCAATATTGGGTCAGAACGTGTTAATTTTTTTTAAAAACTTAAAACTGCTCTAAGTGACATCTCTCATGATAGGACCATTGTTCTGGCAGGAGATTTTAACTGCACTTTAAGTCATTCTTTAGATAGGAATCATGAAGAGCCCCACAGTCAATCTGCAGACGTGCTTCGGTCTTTAATTGTTTACCACAATCTTGTAGACGTTTGGAGAGAATCATTTCCTCAGATTAGGCAATACACCTGGGTGAAAGTAAATTCTAAATGGTATCTGGGGCTAGGTTGTACAGGATCTATGTACAAAAAAGCAAAAGAGATCATTTCTATAATAGCTGTATATTTCCTACTGCTTTGTCTGATCACCATTTTTATCTATTAATTTCTTTACTGCAGAGAGCACGTGTAACAATTTTTTTTGGACTTTTAATAACAGATTGTTATTAGATCAAAATTTTGTGCACTCTTTCACTTATTTCTGGGAGATCTGGAGAGAGAGTAAAACACAGTATAAGTCCTTGAGCCAGTGGTGGGATATTGGCAAAACTCAAATTAAATTGTTTTGCCAGAGTTACTCCGCTTACAATAAAAGTTTTCTGGACATGAAGATGGAACAGCTTGAACAGGAAATACTTTCACTTAAATTTGAAGGGGACAGTGACACTGAGTCTTTGAAAAAGAATAAATTTCTTTTGCGGAAATCTACTGGAGGAAAGAGCCCAGGAGACGCTGATCCGTGCAAGATTTTCGTCATTCAATAGCATGGACTCTCCTACTTCGTTCTTTTTTAACTTGGAGAAGAAGACTGTGGATAAGAAGATTTTAGGCTGTTTGAAACTTCCAGAGGGGAGGAAAGTTACTGATGGTCATGTGATTATTTCTTACGCACTATCTTTTTATGAGGATCTCTACAGAGCTGAACCTTGCGATGAAGAGATGGCTGAACTTCTCTTTAAGGATTTACCTTAGCTTTCGGAAGGAGAGAAAACCAAGCTTGATAAACTTTTTATGTTCTTGATGAACTATCTGTTGCTGTTAAAGGCTCCGGGATTGGATGGACTTAATGCAGAGTTTTATAAACATTTTTGGCCAGTCATCGGAAAGGATTTGTTTGCTGTTTTCATGGAGAGTTTAAAACCTCTTAACCGTTGCCAGAGCGTCGGCGCACTGAAGCGTTTTTTTTTTATTTAGTTCAAATATACTATCAGATTTAATGTTATACCTTGACAAACTATACATCATTAAAAAGATATAAGACTCAAGATTCAGTATTTGACCACTATTGTATTCTGAGAAACTTATAGTGACAGTTATGTCTTAATTTGTGTCAGGAGTTATGAAATGAAAAAAATGAGTCGATACCTTTAATATGAATTATGAGCGTCAGCCGGTCCATTCATAAAAAACACTCCGTGCTGTCGTCATGACAGCGATTCACAAAACAACGTCCCTGAGGGCTTTTAGCTCAACAATGTGCAGATGTGGACAAATATTGATATATTCTCATAGATTCACATCATATTTCTATAGACAGGAATAATATTTATTGAATTTATACCCAAATGCGTCGATGTAATCATTATGATCGCTTCTTACTGAGATGTGCTGTGTTTTCCATTCATACCAATAGCATGGGGGCGCTATTATGTCCAATAAAAGTCCATATATGGATCATGAAGAAGACCCATAGTCATGTGACATTCCAGGACGTCACTGAGTGATACAGAAAGTAGCTGACAGAGATCGCTGTAACATGCAGATAAAGATGTTTTGAAGACAATAAACATGATTGCAATGATATTTGAGTTACCTGTGTTCTTCAAGCCATGCCAGGTATTTCATAATAATAGATTATATTTATAATGTAATGCTAATCGATATAGATTTCATCATCGTTCAGAACACTAAAAAATACATTTTCTGTCGGATTTTTTTTTTATCTGAAGCCAAGTTAGATCACAGAAGATTATTTAAAACACTAGACTTGCGTTATATAGTAAGTTTGGAGCACAAACATGGTTTTAATCTCATAAATGGTCGTGTATTGATGGTGTGCTAAGCTAACATGCTAGCTAGCCCAGGTGCACCTGCTAACAGCAGTTATTGTTTTATGATTTTTTTCTAAATAGGAATGCTTACTGAAATGTTTCAGTGCATTTGATACCAGTTTCAAATATTTAGTGAGAACTTTGATAAAAGAAATTAGGGTTTGAAACCCTATGAATAGCCTGTGAATAGCCAGTCGTTAGTAGCTATAATGCAGACAAAAGAAATGCATATTTAGAGCCATAATAACCAGTCTGGAGAGGTGTAAATGTGTGCAGGGGAGACTGACACTGAATGGGGCACCACAAAACAATAGAGACAATAGACTGAATAGATGACTCAGAAGATGACTAAACATCAGTTTGCTAATAGAGTCTAATCAAAATAAAGTAATTTGACATGATCTTGAAAAACATTTAACTAAATACAGATTTTTATACTTATCATTTTCAGATTTTAAATATAAAATGGTCAGACATGTGGCTTTAGCTGCAGTGCATTTCTAGATTGCTCCAGGGCCAACTTCAATTTT